CTCATTTCAAATTTTACATGTACGAGTTTGAACTTTATTTGTTTGTCGGTTTGAACAGTTTTAAAACTATTAATAAACTAGCAAAGTCAAACAAAATATATATATATATATATATATATATATATATATATATATATATATATTATATACTATATATAAACTAGTACACTTAATAATGTTTGCAAGTTGATTATTCAAACAATATTACGTTTGGATAAATATTAAACAAAACAATTATAAACCTATGGAATTCATATGAATTATAATAGGGAATTTCATTTTCAAGAAAGTAAAATATTCTTTCACTTGAATTTTTCATATCTGTCAAATTGTTCGAAGATTCTTTCAAACTGTTTTGTCCTAATCATGAAAGAATAACGGGTTCCAAGTCACTCTATTAACAAGGCTCATACCCCAGATATGAATATCCAGAAGGTTTAACAGTACCAGTTCCTTACCCCACCCCAGTAAAAAATTCTGACAGGCAAATTTTACATTCATCAGGGACATGTTACTTTGAACAGCACGTGAATGCAAGAAATACACTACACATTGCATATGCTAAATCGTATACATTGCATGAAAAGTAACACATCACAGTAGAATTTCTTATAAAGAAAAGTTAGTTACTCACTTTTTGATGGCCAGTGTCCAAAAATGTTAAGCATTACTTCAGGCAAAACGATTGGAGGAAAAATGAAAGAAACAACTAAGATAGCAGGGCCCAAAATCCATGATGCGCTGTTCTGAGTCCTCTCTGAATTTGATGAAATGACTTCGTTCTCTCTGTTAAGGTCACAAAATCGGACTAGTCCTGGCTTTCCACCATTTTGGGGTAAATGAAAACATGATTTGTTAACAAGAAAGGTGTTTTCAGAAATAGAATCATGCTTTTCTGGCACCAAAACAGATTTTTCACGCCCACTGATATGTGGCTGATTCCCAGAACCGGCAACAGCATGCTGTTTCTGGTACCTTCCTCTCAACTTTGGTGGTACTCCGTGTATATACTGACAGGATTTGTCTGACCATCACAAACAAAAGAGTGTTAACAGCGGTCACCTCCAAAAATCAGAAGAAACCAAACTTCCATGGCCAAATTATTTACGAAATCCAATTGGAACTAATCATATAAAAATAATTATTTCTTCAAACAATGAAGAATTATTAAAAGGTTGTTAAGTCAGAAAATAATAAAAAACAGAAAATTCACAAATAAGCCCAACAAACAAGCAAGCTACCTTTATCATATATTGTCCGGTGAGCGTCTCTTCGCCGGTCGAGCGATAACCTCAACTGAATATGCAAGGAAACAAAACAATGTAAGAGGAAGAACAAACAAAACAAAACTTCTATAGGAACAGTAGTAGATGGTGCCATACTCACAGACTTTACTCTCAAAGAAAAAGAAAAATATATTAATATATTTAGCAACAAAATTCGGTTTACATATTATTACTAGCCAATTTTGAGAAATAAAGTTTCTATGGACATTCTTGGATCTTTTATCGCTTAATCTTTCTTCTTGAATCTTTATGGCTTAATCTTTATTCTTGAAACAGTGAAAACTAAACATTGCTGAAAAATGACAGAGAAAGTTAGGTACCTTGAGATTTGTGTTGTGATGGAAAGAAGAGGGAGAAGAAGTCAAGAAGGAAGTGATTGTAGTGGCCATTACTGAGATGAGAGGATTTGCGAGAAGGTTTGCTGCTGTTAGAATTTGATTTGTTTCAAATACCAGGGAACTTCATTTAAACAGTGGTACTAGTCTTTGCAAATGTTACTTCCTCCGCAAGTCTTTCCGTTTTTTATTTAATGAATTTTTTACTTCTTTTTCAATGTATATTTTATTTAATTTTAATTACATTTCAATCATATTTTCGATGTATATTTTAATTTTAATTATATTATTCAAAATGTCTTATGTTTTTCCATTTTGAAAACTCTTGTATGTTAATTTACAAAAGTATGTTGGAATATTACTTTTAAATGTTAATAAAACTAATATTTTTAATAAATTTATAATAAATTATAACAAAAAAAACTATTCTTATTGTTGAGGACAAATAAATTTTATTTCTACTTATTCATAAATTAAAACATCTTGTAATCTTATTAACCTTTGTTTGGATTTGTGAAAACAAAAATTATTAACTTTTAATTAAACTTCTGAGATTGAAATATATTTTACATTTTTTTATAAATTAAGGTGTTATAATAGTGTAAAATATCAGAGTAATAGTTCTTCTTAATTTTCTATATCAATAATAAATGAAAACATTTTTCATAATTATAGAAAATGAGGATTCACTTTTAATTGTATTACTTGTTAATTCATCTTTATATCCATAATTTATTGTGACATTTATTAGTGTTATGTTCAAATACAGGGTCTTGCCATCCAATCAGCACATCCCTTAAATAATGAAAAAGATTTTCCTTTTTGGAAATCATAAGTTAATAAATAGGCATTGTTACGCATAATCAATTAAGAAAAAAAAACTCATTTTCAATTCCTTAATTTGTTTCTTAAGGACAAAATTAGCATTTGTCATCAATATAAGTTATATTGATTGATTAATAAAATTAGCATGTGGTATAGAGTGTTAACATCCGTAGCATATAAAAGACATTAAATATTTTTGTTCAATTCAAGGAAGAATTTCGTTTGATCGAGAGAAGGATAAGAATTTATTGCTCAATATACTAGAAAAATGAAATTATTTGGGTAGGGAGAAATTAATTAAGAAATTTATATAATATTTGATTCACGTGATAGAATAAGGTTCAATATATTTAAAAAATCATTTATAAAATAAAATTTTAAAATAATTTAACACAAAAAAATAAATTTAAATAAATTATGATAAAACTTTATTAGCAAAAAAACATATTTTTCAATAAAAATACATTAAAATAGTGAGAACAAATTTAATGACGTTATTATTTTTTATTTTGTTGTTGCTTTTCATTTTTATTAAGACAAATTATTCAATTATTTAATTCGATCAATTCAATCTAATTAGATTGGGTTGAGTTTAATTTATAGAAATTGATTGATGAATAATTTAAAATCCAACTAAAAACTTGCTATTATGTTTGTGTTATGATTATTGTTTTGGTAGGGTTGAGGTTTAACTTAAAGCATTTAAAGTTATTTGCTCCATCATCTAGGTTACTTCATTCTCTCTCTTCTTCTTGTCCTAACTGTGGGGGAGGGTGCTTGCAGAAGACTTGCTCCATCATCCAGGTTAGGCTATTCTCTTTCTTCTCCTTTTGAAGTGGTACCAAAAGTAAATCCGTGGGCTTAGTCCAAAGCGGACAATATCTTACCATTGTGGAGATCTATGTGTGTGTATGTGGTGAACATCCTTATAAATGGTATCAAAGCCCATGGTTCAAGTTTGGTGACCGGGCTTAGACGAGTGCGTCCCTCCACGGTAAGGTGAAGCCCTGATAAGTGCCCTGGCAAGTGGCAGATAGCCAGATGAATCATGAGAGGTGGAGAGCAAGAGATGTTCAGTGTTGTGTGACCATGGATTGTGAAAGAGGACAAAGAAATGCTCAGTATTAACCATGGAAGACACTCTGATGCTCAAGTAAGTGACTTTGCGGAATAATCTTGTAATAAAGATTAGTAATTATAGTTAATTTAAATTACTTGTCTTTACATATATTTATAAATATTATAATGAACTTACCATTATGTCTGACTCATTAATTACCAATAAATGATTTTATTCTTGTTAATTATCAATTGACTATTATTCTCATTAACTATCACTAATTGTTTAGAATACAAGTATTATATATTTTGTATTTATATTGAGGAATACAAGTATTATATATTGAGGAATACAAGTATTATATTGAGGAATACAAGTATTATATATTTTGTGTTGGAAATAACTTTCGTAGCATGTTAATCTCTACACTTTTCATTAAATAATATTTTAATGTTTATGAAAGGGTAATTTCTGTATCGAATACATTGCAGACACATTCTATTTATCAATCATCTGACTTGCTCTTGGTTAGAATTGTACGTATCATAACATGAGATCAACGTAATGAATTGATATCAAAAACTGAATTCATGCAATTTCTTGCCAAGTCCAATATTTGAGGTCATTTGAAAAGCAAATTTACGTACACATAATTAAAATTGACATATTTTACTTATAAGACTACTGTTAAGAATTAAATATACAAAATTTCGCTTAAAAGTATAAAATTTATGTTAATGAGAATAAAATTAATTTAAACTTAAAATCATCTAAAAAGTTGATTGAATTGAAAATTAAAAACAAATAAGACAACAAAATTATAAAATTATATGTAACGATAACTAATTAAGATGACTGAATAAGATAACAATTTCATTAGTTTAACCGTTACATTACTCAATTAACAAAAGAAAATTTGTCAGAAACTCAATTAAAAAAATATAATTTTTAAAGTATTCAATAAAATATAAAAATTTAATTGAAAGTTTTCAAATTTATAATAAATTTGAAACTTAGTTAAGTTTAAAATTTTAAATGACTTTCAATTAATATATACTAAAATATAAAAGTAATAAACAACAAATATTCTAAATTTCAATGTAGCTAGATCCTATGATTTTCTATAACTACTCAATCAAAATGGAATTGTGGTATTGAGAAAACATAGAGGTCTAAAGGTTCATATTAATGAAAATAAGGGGATAGAAAATGTAATCACTTGGCACAAGGATGGACTAACTTTTCAACAGAAGAACTAATACGAAAATTCTTTCAGGAATCAAACAACCAACACCATCATACACATTTTAGGACTCCATTTATTATTTAGCCAGGTTTGATCTTTCATAAAAAAATTATTGTTTTCAACTTAATTATTTTTCTATTTTAAAAATGAGACTCCTGTAAATATTGAGAGAAAAAAAATGAAGTTTGTTTCAACATTAATTTTTAAATGATAAATTTAAAATAAAAGTTCAATAATTTTAAAATCAATTATTGTGAAAACTATTCTTAAATTAAGACTCCTTGTTCTAGTATCCATCTTGGAAAGGAAACTACATTATACAACTCGCACAAGAAAACAATGGTGGGGTGTTAAGGTTTAAAAAGAACCCGCCAATGAGCAATTACTAACAGAAGCAATCTAATAAATAACCACGTACTCAATTCAAGCATAGATACAGGTACAACCTAACCTAATACACAACCTAAGTCTCGCTCAACTCAAAACACCAAGACCCCGGTATAAAAAGGGATTGGCCAGCTCTCACTTGAAATCACAACCAACTTCCCTCACCTCACCCACTAACTTTAAATAAGATTAGCCCTCTTCAAAAATCTGATTGTCCGACAATAGTAGGGCCATATTGATTCCACAAAATCAAGATACTTCTCTACTATCCATTCTGACAATTCTTTCAACTTTTTTCTACCCAGCTGTTTATAATCAGTATTTGCTATGCTCAATATAGGCTGCAAAATATGAGCCTGGATGTCTTCTTTGAGCTTGCCACAAAAGACATAGCTGTAGGCCAACATGAAGTACGAGGGCGAATTCTTAATTACTTTGATGGTCTGCTTGAAGCTGAAGACATAGAGTGCACATAGCCACCGCCACAACATGATGTAGAGAGCCACAATGAGTGGCCCCAAAACCCATAAAGGAGTTAACTCCTTCGACACCTCTGCCCCATAAACTACATTAACGGCCAGGTAGAAAGGAACACTGCACAGAAATATGGAATCAGAAGATGAGCATCATCAAGCATTATTGTGCACTGCAAACTGTTGACATTGCCAGTTAAATACGCTGAATATATATATTAAGGAAGAAAATGTAGGTGCCTGAATAGATGTACTCTCTTCGCATTCAAATAATCTGTCTAACAGTAAATTGTTTTTTTGCAGTTTTGTTATGTCAGACTTCCGAGTGTTCCATGAGCCTCTCTCAGAAAAAAAAGCAAAACAGCACTTCCTTTTTTAAGCAAGCTTTCTGTGCTTCAAATTACTATCAAGGCAATGCTTCCTAAATCGACTTCGGGAGTCAGCACCACCCAGTTTCCCTTTCTCTATAAATTCTTATAACCTAGAATTTGTTTCAAACTAAAAGTCCAAGTAGACACCTCATTAAATTAAACATGTAATTACCTAACAGAAATGCATATGATACGACCATGCTGTAGGGAGAGGCAAAAACGTGGTGTAGGGAGAGGCAAAAAACTTTTAAGAGCAGGGATGGAAAAACTGTCATACTTACAATATTAAGAAAGGAACCTTTATTGTTGCATCCTGGGCTAGAAAATACGACCATGCTGCCTTCAAACTCTGACCTTTTATGGTCTTTTGCGTCCCTTGTAAAGAATTTGGTAAGACATCCGGAGGTGGTTCTCCCAAGATTTCCTGCTCCCCTTGATTTTGTGGTAGTGTTTGTAACATTGTAAGCCATTTTTGGAGAAGTTTATGAATACCAGATGATACTGCAAGGTTCTCATTTGCTTCAGAAGCACAAGAGAGTGGAACATTGTTTGCCTTTGGAGATTCTGATTTCATTTCGCCTCTCTTATCCAGTCTAAAGGAGGTTTTGGGGTTGGGAACCTTCGACCCATTAGCACTGGTTACTGAATCATCACCTTTGGCACTGCCTTTGAAGCTTGAAATCTTCAAAGGTCTGAGCTTGGTTCCGCAAATGTGAGGAGGCCCTACACTGGAAACAAGAAATCCTTTATCTGCATTTTAATGCAGGTATTTTGCTGAAATTTTCTAACCAGTATGTAAAAAAATCCTAGGACATCTAACTGAAAATTTGGTATTACAACCAGAAAGTGAAAACATGTAAGCAGTTAAATAAATCATTATTGCAAAAATTATGCACATGCAATAATCAGTCTCTCCCTCCCCAAATAGTATTTCGTTTCATAGTATCAACCTCAAATTCTGTGTACAAAACTATGGGCAGATGGCAATGTTATCATGTTTAAAACAATATAAATATAACTAATCAATCATGACTGGAAAGCTTTTTAACTCTTTTTCAAGGAGGCTCCTAAAAGTAGAATGTCAAATTGACTTTATTAAATCTTGTTACATATCCACCTCATATGATATATTCTAAGATACTTCTATCATTATGTAAATATGTTCCACGCATTTTAAGTAATAAAAAACAGTGACCTATATGAGAGACCAAAATTTTCATCACAGTGGCACAACAAACTCTCCACCTTAGTATGCAATGCCAATCAGCTCTTCCAATCAAGTGACATTTTGATAAACATTGCTTCAGCTTCAGCCTTTTGCTCCATAACAACTTCCTTGAGGAAAATGCCACAAACAAGCCCTGAGGAAAGAGAAACAAATTATTCATATTTGTATATATATTTGAAATCTTAACAAGGAAAATTTGAACTGTAAAAACAGAACACCACTTACGCTGTACGAAAAGCATACTGAACTTAATGTGTTTATATTGACCAAGAAAAAAAATTTAGGCAAAATTGAAGTAGATTTCTTCTCAGCAAACAAAGCTTTGGAAATTTTGAAACCATGTTTACCAAAGAATACCAACAGACCTCTAAAATCACAGAACAATTTGAGAGAGAAATAGAGATGTTCCGCATAGCTTCATCTTCAGATAAAATTCAACCTTAAGGATAACTAATAAATGTTGACAACTCTCCGATGTTCAAATTACTAAATTTAATGCAACAGTTCAAGTGTTGTCACAAGAAAATATCATTGGAACAGTATACTACTCTTCTGACTATACAAAATAAAAATAGCATTGTTAATCAACTTTGAGATCATCATAACACAATGTAAATTTATTCTAGGACTAATTAACTTTTAGTGAAAATTGAAATTAGTCATTTTTCAAAACTTTGGTCCAATTTAGCCCTCCAATTTTAGAAATATGTAGATTTAATCATTTTAACCAAATTTTGTTAAGTTCATTTGATATTTTAAACTTGTTTCATGATAGCATTTAAGTTATTTATATATTTGACACATTTTCGCTTCAATATTTCTAACGTTTTATATGTAAAATAAACTTAACAAAATTTGGTTAAAAAGATTAAATTTACGTATTTTTAAAATTGGGAATTAAATTGGACCAAAGTTTTGAATAACGACTAATTCCAATTTTTACAAAAAGTTAAGTGACGAAAATCATGTAATCCTTTATCCTAAAGGCTTAACCCTTTAATCAGCATGTAATCATGTAAACAAAGGTCAGCAACCTTTGACAACGATAAACTAGTCCCATTGTCATTGATATTACTATTGGCTTCACTTTTATCCATAGAAAGCTAAAATCTTGATGACAGCGATCAGTAAAAGCTGGCCGTAAAAAACAATCCAATAGGAGGTCAATTTGATACGTAAGTACCTGCTGTTGATGAGCAACAAAAGCCATAAGCCTTTAACCACCAAATTATCTACTGACAGAACCTATTGCCAAAAACAAAACAAGGAAATCAAGGAGATAAATAAACACAACAAAAACAAGGAGTGACCCACAATCAATCTTCAACAAAATTCGGTAAGTAATGTATAGCACATTGACAGTTCAATTTCCGAAGTTGAATGTCTTCATCCAGCATACAAATTGTCATATAACTAAATGAATTTTAGAATGCAACAAATCAAAATGTCAGCGACACCGACCTCGGTGCTTCGAAGGGTTTCAGATAAACAAATCATAAATAGAAAGTAAGAGAAATCTACGTTACGAAACAAACCGAGTACGAATTAGCGCAACAAAATGATTCAGGAATTACTTGTAGGAATGGAAATAGAGAATTATGAATAGAATATTGAAGGAGAAAGGTATGAAGCAGTGAAGAAATGAACGGAAATCGGAAATCTGAAATCTGGAAACCCTAAACCCCAACGACAACGCTATTAACGATGGATGAAGAAGACGATGTGCTTATCTTTCATTCCCTAGAAGTTCATCAGACGTCAATTGCCATTAGCCAAAGTTTATTTTGAATAAAAATAAAAAAGTTTTATTTTGTTGGATAAGTTTTTTTGTAAAGTTTTTTTTTCTCTAATAAACCTTTCATAACTATTTTTCATCAAATGAAATTTTAAAAGATTGTGCAAATGTTTCATTCAAATCCTCGTTACAAAGAGATTAAATAAAAAACGGCTTAATACCTCTTTTGGTCCCTCGAAAAGGAGGAAATATTCAAGTCTGTCCTACGTTTTTTAAAAAGTTAAATGTGATCTCAACTTGTAAAAAAAGGGTGCAATTAAATCCACGGCGTTTTTAACAGCTTGAATTGAATTGTGCAACGTGTCAGATAACGTGACAATGGTAAAAAAATCTGAGAGGTTAGGGTTTCGGTTCCTGCCACTTGGTCTCTGAGGTGAGGGAAGTGTTTAGGGCGAGATAGGAATGGCTTCTTCCCAGGGATGTTCTTTTAATTTTGAAGACCCTTTAAAAATGGCGGCAGCAAAGTAAGCATGGTTAAGCCCTTCCTCCTCCGATTTGGGAACTAACCAAAAAGATCAATTTCTAGGGGTTTAAGCTTCATTCTCCTCCTCCTTCTCTTGTTTTTGTTTGAGTTTAGGGATTTCCTATTTTTTTCGCACGCAGGTCTGGTTGCGAACGGTGATGACAGGTGAAGATGGTGGTGACACGTGCTGAGGAAGACCGACGCGGCAGCGGAGTTAATCTTTCCGATTTGGCATATTTGGGTTCTGAAATTGGAAATTTTGGGGATTCTGATTCTTGTGTTTTAGGGTGGGAAATTAAGATTCTCTGATGTAATTGGAATTTAAAAATAATTGAAATTGGGGTTTCTAATCTTGTTCTGTTTTTGAGTTTAGCGATGATGGAGTTTTCATTTTTTATTTGGGGTGGTTCTGTTTTCACGTTTTGAGTTTTTTGGGTTTCACGTTGGAGGGTGTTTTTGTTTCGATTAGGGTTGTGGTGGTTGTTGGTGGTTGCGCGGTGGAGCCGCCAAGGTTGCGGTGGTTGACAGTGAAGTCAGACAGCCACGTTATCTATATTTTTACCCTTAGACAACCACATATTCACCCTTAACAGACACGTTGCATAGTTCAGTTCATGCTGGCAGTTGGACTGTTAAAAAATTAACACCATGATAAAAAATGATTTAATTGAATAATTTTTCACAAGTTAGAACCACATTTAACTTTTTAAAAAAAGTAGAAGACACTTGAACATCCAGGGACAAGAAAGGTATGAAGCCAATAAAAAACAATACACTCGATTTAAAGGACAAATACAAAATTAGAAAAAAAACAATTAAAGATATGTTCTTAACGCTAGTATAACTAGAACTATATAATAAAATAACAAAAAGTGAATAATCATATCAATTGTTATAGATACATATAATTTAGAAAAAAAACAATACTAAAGGATATGTGTTCACTTTGTGAAGATAAATTTAATGAAGAATAAATAGATAAATTTAAGTGGAATTGAAAATAATGTCTGTATTGTTTTTCTGATAAAATTTGAAAGTGAAAATAAATAAATTTTAAAAAAAATTGTGAAATTTGAAAATAATTTAACTGTGATAAATTTTTACAAAAATTAATAAACAAAAAAATTATGAAATTATTTTTAATATTAAAAGAAATATAAAATTATATTTAGATAAGTTAAGTTTATTTTATAGAAATATTTTAATGAATGAAATTAAAAAATTATTTATTTACTTTTGAGAGAAAAGGGATGAAGAAGCTGAAAGAGTTCATTAACTCTGAAATATAATTTCTGTTGATCAATGAAATCGAGTATGTACCACCGTCCCAGGCACACAACACCACGACAGTAGGTTGGGGAAAATAAGAGCAAATCAACCTATACCAAAACATGTCCACCTTCACGAACCACCACGTCGGCTCCACCACCTCCATGAACCACCAACTACGGCTTCCTCACCTATGGCATCCTTCATCAGTTCCTCACGCCAATAATGGCATCACGTCTTCAATAGATGTCTCGCAATACAAAGAAGGCGGTCAAGCACAGTAAAACCGGTTCCACGAATATCATAACCAATTTCATGCATATTAGAATCGATTCCAACTTCCATTGATACTCAGAACCGGTTTCAGCTTCAACATAACTCATTTCCACATGTATATATATATATATAGAATCGATTCCACAACTCTTTTTGCTGGTCTCTTCCTTCACCACGCATCGACTTCCTTCCTTCACCACCATGGAACTTCGCAGATTCCACACAATGAGGGCATAATTATCTTTGCACATTATCATCATCAAGTTAAAGCGAGATTCAAAACCTCATAATCCCGACAATCCTCTCCTTCTCTCGTCCTCAAATTCGCAAATCCAAACACGAGTTTATCTACAATTCATTCTCTTGCTATCATTCTCAACAACAAACCGCCAGTAAGCTAACAAAGCATTAAGGTTTTTTCTTTAGTAAGAAGCATCCACAAACTAAGAAAGAATAAGAAAATAAAAAATAAATTATAACTTAAAAAAAGTACTTGAATTTTAAATAATATTTAGCTAATTAGACGATTGGCCTCTAATTCAATAAATTGAGCTGCAATGAAGTTTTATGCAAGATATCCACACACACTGCAAACAATAATCATGTTCCTTAATTTATTTTCATCTATCTAATAACTTTAGCATTAGAAAGATGGTGGTAGATGAAAAAAAAAACTTAGAATATAAATTATTGCAACACAATCTTAAATATAACTCAACTAAAATTTTATAAATGTTTGTTTTGAAAATGTTCTCTTCAAGGATTTTTTTTTTCAGGATTGAAAAAATAAGGAAAAAAAAAGAAAAAAAATCACTTCATCATAAGTTAGTTTATACAAAATATTAAATATCAGAGAAGCATAGAAGAAATGTTTTCAATCTTAAGGCTAGGTTTTATATCCCAAAAATAGACATTCTGAAGCACCGGAGTGGGTAACACATTAACAATATGCACAAGTTAAAAAGGCTTCATCCCAAAATTTCAAGGGTAAAGAAGCTCCAGCAATCAACAGCATGTCTTTGTTTACGCTCATTGCCCCTTGTGTGTGTGTGGACATGTGAGATGATGTTTGATTCGATTAGTAGTGAAAAAATGATTTAAAGCTATCAAGAAATGAAATGTGATAGGGAGCACCGTTTGAGGAAGGAACAAGAGATGATTCCCATATATCAACAAACACTAGTTCAAGAGGTTTAGTGTATAAAGTTTGAGACACTAAAAGGCAACTGATGAACCTTATATAAGTATCATAGAAAAAAGAATCTTGTTCACGAAACATTACAAGAATGCATAAAATGAGTAGTTTTAAAAGCAGCATGACCCAGTCGTGCGTGCCATAGTTTAAAGAGACTTTATAATATGTAGGAATTTCCTTCGTTAGATGACTCCTCCTAGTGATATGTGCTTGGACATTGATGACATGTTATATATCTATAGTCTCATGTTTTTTCTATGCATACTAAAATCTTAGTGATTATGAAAAACTTTAAGTGGTTAACGGTTTGAAATTGGACAATAGGAGCTTCTTGAGTTAAGTGAATAGATCAATGACAACTTGGAAAAGGGTTTGTCAGAAGACATTATTGCAAGACATGTGTAGAAAAAAAAGTTATCTATTACCTGAGAACTTGGGGGATCAGGAATCTGATATTTGCATAATATGTCAGATATGAGATATAGCAACATGTATATTTTATATTTTATAAGGTACTCGTTTATTTGTATTTTTTATGTACGAGGTTATTCATTAAAATTTAATATATTAAAAATATATTTTTTTCTTTCTCATATTAATTGGAATGCATGTGCATGATTTCACAGGATGAATATAAAATTAAAGATGAAATTGAAATTCTTCAATGCAGACATGAATACCATGCAGAGTGTATAAAGAGATGGTTAAATGAGAAAAATGTTTGTCCCATGTACAAATCAAAAGGATTGACTATTAAATAGTACGAAAAATTAAAACTACATAATTCATTATTTCAGTGAATTCATATTTTGTTCTCGATCAAGTAATACATATTCCTAACAAAGTTGTAAGAGTGAAAAACTTATTGTTTGCTATTTTCATGAACAATTAATTACATTTATCATATTATATTGTTCTTTAAATGTTAACCATGAAAAATTATATTCTTAATATTTTTTCTTACTTTTCATTAATGTCTTATTTCCAAGTGCATAATATAAAGAATTGGTTTATTTCTTGAAATTTTTTTGCTTTTCTTGTTGTCTGAATATATCATACATTAAATGGTATTAATTCGATTGCGTTTAATAAATAAAATTATAATCAAATTAGTTGACAAGAAACAAAAAGTCATTATTAATCATTTTCATCAAGAAACTACTTTCTTAAATCTTATAAAGTCTATTAATGTTTTCCTTTAATAACTGAAATAGAATTATACGGGACTTGTGGCTTTCGGTAGTGGTAATAATAAATTATAACATAATATTTCATTAACAATATTAGCTTAAACAAACAATTATTTAAGAATAAATCTTTTTAAAATTATATTGATTGAAGTATATAGATCAAGGTATACCAGTAAAAGAGTATTATTATCTCATTTTAATTGCTATTCAATATGTTAATTTGATATATACATCCAAATAAAATGAAAAGTTTTATAAAACAAACTAGACCACCCACGGAATTTAAAATTTTTTTAATAATTGTTTTATTTTGTAAAAAAAAAATAATAAGGCAGTGAAATTATTATATAATGAAATATAATGAAAATTAAGTTATATTGATAATTTGATTAAAATAATTCTATCATTTAAAAGATTTTCTAGGAGATATGAAGGATTATTAATTCTTTGGTTTTGTGTTTTGTAATTAGATTATCATGTATTATGTAAAAATCAGTAAACTTATCCTCTCTATATATATGGATATTTTCTATCTTTATATTTTTATTATTTGTTAGGATGTGATTGAAATGTAATGATTAATAAAATAATAATCCAAATTATATGAATATCAAACGCAATAATTGATGGTTCCTATTCAACCCTAAAACATAAATAGTAATAATTAATGACACCAAAATCAGATAAATTAAATATTTGAAATTAAATTTCAAAAATTGAAATATCTTTAATAGTTTCTCTTTAACTCTTCCCTTTTATAAGCAATGTATATTTGCGACACATTTACAAGTAATAATTAATGTCGTCAAGATTAAATAAAGTGATATTTATCATGGGATTTTAAAATTTAAATTATCTTTAATGGTAGAGATTACTTTTTCAGTTTCCTTTGTCATTATCATGTTTAATCTTCTTTCTTTTTTACTTTGTATTTCAATAGTTCGTTAGGATTTGATTAAAATGTAATGATTAAATAAAATAATTATGCAAAGGATATGGATATCAAACGTAATAATTAATGGCTCTTTATTCAATCTTATAAAGATAAATCATAATAGTATACGTGTTTAGAACTATATTTCAAAAATTGAATTATTTTTAATGGTAAAGATTTCCACTCTAACTCTAGCCTTCTCATTATCATCTTTATAATTAATCTATTTTTACCGTAGATTTACAAATAACAATTAATGTCATCAAGATTACAAACTGAATATTTAAAATTAGATTTCCAAAATTAAATTATGTAAAGATTTTCCTCTTCACTTAAATTAACGGTGTAACAGATTCACAAATTATAGTAAATGATATCAAGGTAAGGTATACTGATTATTTAGGAATTAGATTTTAAAGATTAAAATATTGTTAATATTTCCCTTATCATTAAATACATATTTTCAAGTAATCAATTTTAATGTAGATTTAGAAATAATAATTAATGGTATCAAGATTAAGTAAAATGAATATTTAGAATTAAATTTTCAAAATTAAATTATCTTTAGTAATAAATTTCTCTCTTAACACTTATCTTAATTAAACTATCATCTTTATAAATAGTGTTAGGATCACATTATAAATTACTCATTTCTTAAAATTTTCTTTCTCTCCTCAAAAGGATTCTTTACCTTTAACATTATCTTTCTTTGTTAATTTCTTAATCACATTCGATTGCGAAACATGTCTGAGAATACACACACAATGATAATAAGAGGAATGACTATTGATTCCAATTACTTAGTAGATGTTGATGAAAATGGAATGATATATGGAATAACACAACAACATAGACTTCACCATCAACCTAGTTACTCTAACAATTTCATTTGGGGTCATTATTCGACTTTGGTTTGGTATCCAAATCTTCCAATCTCTTATGTACAAGGTAAAATATCTACCTTTCTTTCTCTACTTGTTCTGTTTTGATTTTTTTATAAAGTATTCATGTATTCCAACATTACTCTAACAGTTTTGAATGAAGAGTCTTGTAATTTTATGTTATTTTCTTTAAATTCTTGATTTTGTGTATTAATGGATGATCATTTTCTACAGCTCCACCTCCTAGTGCTAATGTAAGCTCATTAGAAGAGAATACAAGAATGGGTCTCCGAAGAAGAAGACACCACCACAGATTTCTCCATCGACAATACCGTGCGCAAGAGATCAGACGTCACTCCAACTTTCATTCCTACGTAACTGCTTCAACATATAGAGTTCCAGAAACAACAAATCATTCAAGAAGTTCTTCAATGCCCATACAAAATGCACCTGATAGAGACAACATGCATAATCTTCATCCTCCTGCATTTCGTGTAATATGTCATTCTTTTTACTTTTAAAAATTCTTAGTCCTTACAAGCCTACTTTCTTTATCACGTATTATTCTCTTTTCTTATGCAGGAATTTCCTTCGTATATGCTCATGAACACTGATGACATGTCATACGAGACACTTTATAATGTGCAAGAATTTCCTTCATTAGGTGACCCTCATAGTGATATGCGCTTGGACATTGATGGCATGTCATATGAGGCAAGTATATTATATATGTATAGTCTGATGTTTTTTTTCTATGCATACTAAAATCTTAGTGATTATGAAAAACTTTAAATTACTAACGGTTTGAAATTGGACAACAGGAGCTTCTTGAGTTAAGTGAATGGATCAGTGGCAACTCGGAAAAGGGTTTGTCAGAAGATATTATTGCAAGACATATGCAGACAAAAAGTTATCTAATATCTGAGAACTTGGGGGATCAGGAATCTGATATTTGCATAATATGTCAGGTATGAAATATAGGAACATGTATATTTTATATTTTATAAGGTACTAGTTTATTTTGTCTTTTTTATGTACTAGATTGAGGTTATTTATTAAAATTTGATATATTAAAAATATGTTTTTTTCTTTCTCATATTAATTGGAATGCATGTGCATGATTTCACAGGATGAATATAAAAATAAAGAGGAGATTGGAATTCTTCAATGCGGACATGAATACCATGCAGAGTGTATAAAGAGATGGTTACATGAGAAAAATGTTTGTCCCATGTGCAAATCAAAAGGATTAACTATTGAATAGATACGAAAAATTAAAACTACATAATTCATTATTTCAGTGAATTCATATTTTGTTCTCGATCAAGTAATACATATTCCTAACATCGTTGTAAGAGTGAAAAACTCATTGTTTGTTATTTTCATGAACAATTATTTACATTTATCATGTTATATTGTTCTTTAAATGTTAACCATGAAAAATTACATTCTTAATATTTTTTCTTACTTTTCATTAATGTCTTATTTCCAAGTGCATAATATAAAGAATTGGTTTATTTCTTGAAATTTTTTTGCTTTTCTTGTTTTCTTAATATATCATACATTAAATGGTATTGATTCGATTGCGTTTACTAAATAAAATTCTAATCAAATTAGTTGACAAGAAACAAAAAGTCATTATTAATCATTTTCATCAAGAAACTACTTTCTTAAATCTTATAAAGTCTATTAATTTTTTCTTTTAATAATTGAAAAAGAATTATACGGGACTTATGAAACTGCAAATATTTGGCTTTCGGTAGTGGTAAATAATAAATTATAAAATAATATTTCATTAACAATATTAGCTTAATCAAACAATTATTTAAAAATAAATATTTTTAAAATTATATTGATTGAAGTATATAGATCAAGGTATACCAGTAAAAGAGTATTATTATCTCGTTTTAATTGCTATTCAATATGTTAATTTGATATATACAACCAAATAAAATGAAAAGTTTTATAAAACAAACTAGTCAACCCACGGAATTTTCAATTTTTTTAATAATTGTTTTATTTTGTAAAAAAATAATAATAAGGCAGTGAAATTATTATATAATGAAATATAATGAAAATTAAGTTATATTGATAATTTGATTAAAATAATTCTATCATTTAAAAGATTTTCTAGGAGATATGAAGGTTTATTAATTATTTGGTTTTGTGTTTTGTAATTAGATTATCATGTATTATGTAAAAATAATTAAACTTATCCTTTATATATATGGATATAGTTAAGCACGTTTAATCATGGAGTTCTTATGGATTAGTCTTCGAACCACACCGTACTAGGAGAGGCTAGGCTCTGATACCACTTGTAACGCCCCGACAACTTACAAGGAATATTGACTGCCCTCACACACAGAAGGTCACACATGCCTAAATTACTTCAGGTTAAACACGTTTAACCATGGAGTTCTTATGGGTTAGGCTACCGAAAAACAAATGCATTTGGTGATATGAGTAGCCCAATCAATCCCTTTAAGTTATCCTTCAACTGTATAGTCTCATATCTATACAGTCTCTAGATCCTCTCATTCCGGTGTCATAGTAAAGATTACTTTTTAAGTTTCCTTTGTCATTATCATTTTTAATGGTAAAAATTGAATTTATCCTGTGATTATATGAATACCTTCTTTCTTTACATTTTACTTTGTATTTTCATAGTTTGTTAGGATTTGATTAAAATGTAATGATTAAATAAAATAATGATGCAAATGATATGATATCAAACGTAATAATTAATGGCTCCTTTATTCAATCCAATAAAGATAAATCGTAATAATTAACGTGTTTAGAACTATATTTCAAAAATTGAATTATTTTTAATGGTAAAGATTTCCACTCTAACTCTAGCCTTCTCATTATCATCTTTATAATTAATCTATTTTTACCGTAGATTTACAAATAACAATTAATGTCATCAAGATTACAAACTGAATATCTAAAATTAGATTTCCAAAATTAAATTATGTAAAGATTTTCCTCTTCACTTAAATTAATGGTGTATCAGATTCACAAGTTATAGTAAATGATATTAAGGTAAGGTATAATAAATTTTAGGAATTAGATTTTAAAGATTAAAATATTGTTAATATTTCCCTTATCATTAAATACATATTTTCAAGCAATCAATTTTAATGTAGATTTAGAAATAATAATTAATGTATCTAGATTAAGTAAAATGAATATTTAGAATTAAATTTTCAAAATTAAATTATCTTTAGTAATAAGTTTCTCTCTTTAACACTTACCTTAATTAAACTATCATCTTTATAAATAGTTTTAGGATCACATTATAAATTACTTAGATGTCACTCCAACTTTCATTCATATGTAACTGCTTCACCATATAGAGTTCCAAAAACAACAAATCATTCAAGAAGTTATTCAATGCCCATACAAAATGCACCTAATATATAGAGACAACATGCATAATCTTTATCCTCCTATGTCATTCTTTTTACTTTTAAAAATTTTCTTAATCCTTAAAAGTCTACTTTCTTTATCACATATTATTCTCTTTTCTTGTGCAGGAATTTTTTTTCGTATATGCTCATGGACACTGATGACACTAGTCTGATAACCCGAAGCATGCATGGTTGGTTGGGAAGGAGCGAAAACATAAAGGCCATCTTTAACTTTTCCATGGAGTATTATTTCCTCGGTTTCCTCATTTTTTAACAGAACAATGGATAGGGAAAAATTAGAAAAACCCATTATTATCCTTGGCAAACCTGGAAACACTAAAAAAATCTTGTACTAGAACCACTACTGTAGAAAAAAGCTTTTAATGTATGTTATTTTTGGGTTTTTGGCATCTGATCTCTCCCGATATCATATTGAGAGACGTCAATGGGACATCGGTTCCTTCAAGGAACATCAATAGACGTTGGATGTTATCCCACAGATGTCATATTAAACGTCGGATCTACGTATATCAGACGTCATATGAGACGTCGGATATAAGGTATCCGTTGTCTATGAACGTTGAATGTCGTTGTCTGGTACTAAGCACAAAAAAACCTGAAGTGGCCACTGAAAACAATTTGACGTTTGTCAGTGCATTCACAGACGTCAATAGACGTCGGACAGGACCATAACCGACATCTATTAAGTGTTTTTTTTAAATAAGAGGTTTATGCATGGAAGAACTATGAAACAAGTCATACTAGTTTGAGTGATTGTCATACCTGAGTCATTACCAATTTTTATCACATCAGTACGTAATTGTACGAGGTGATTTTGAGAAAGAATTGTTATCATGAGTTATGTGGTGTGTGGCACCGCTATTAAGGTACCAAAGAGGGTCAGAAAATAAGGAGTCCCCATCTATCATCTTGTGTTGTGGAGAATCTAACATTAAATATTGGAACCGGAAGATAAAGACCAGGAACCTTTGGTGCTAGGCTTGAAATCAAAGGTCCTCTTGTTGTAAGAGTTTTGACGAGGATTGTTGCATGAAGAAGAACGACCATCAATGTTTTGAAACCAATTCTTATTTTTGGGCTGAGGAGTATTAGAATTCCTAGAAGATGAAGCAAGATTATCTTGCATGAGAGTTTGATCAGTAAGCCTATGCTTATCAAAACGTTCCTCTTGAGCAAGCAACAATGTCTTCGACGTTGTAGGGGTCAAAGCGATGTGACAGAAGTGACGAAACCATCATATTCTTCGAAGAGCCCGTTTAGAATCTCATCAATGTGATCATCAATGGTGAGAGGAGATCCAATAGCAACAAGGGTATGTTTACAATCTTCTTGATATCAAGACCCACCATGATCTTAGTGAGTATGTAGACATTCATAGAGGCGAGTAACCATGCAACAAGAAGTTGGTCTTGTCGTTCGTGATTGAGAAAGTCTACACTAATATTATGATTAACACAGGACTAGCATATTTGGAAGGGGTTGGCAAGTCTTCAAGAAAACGCACGACGTTTAGACCGTGAATAGTGGCAAGGACTTTTTACTGCCACAAAAGTTGTCTTCATTGAGCTTAAGATTGATCGGAAAACACAATTAAAAAGATTATCATCATTATTAACTTCATGTTGGATTGAAAATTATTTTTGGGTAAACTACCAAATTCTTTCTTAAATAATGTGTTGTGCCAAATTTCTTACATAAATAAATTCTTAATTTTTTTGTCAATTTAGTATGTTTAACTCATCAATATTCATGTTCATTAAATTAACTACATTTGGAAGCTATTTAAAGATTAAAATGACAAAGTCATATACTCATAAAACATCCTTCTTAGTAAAAACTTTTAAAGTCTCATTATACCCGTCTTCGTATGTCAATGTCACGGATTAGCATGTGTTTTTTTTTTTTTTCTCTTAACAGACATTAAAATAAATGGGAAACATGTTTTTCGTAGCAAAAACATTCCAAGGATTCCTTCATATGTCCAAACAGGGACTTGGAACAATAATAAAAGCTTTTACAAGCCTTTAAAGAATCAATTCCATCTTTTTCTTTTACTGCACATCATCAAAATTTCTCCTGCAAACCATCATTTCAGATTTCATTTTCCGAGAAAGCCCTAAATTAATCATGAATAAAAGTTACATTAATCGTAATAAAATTATAATAATCTCTAAAATAGCATAATTAAGTTTGTTTAGACACAGCAATTTCAACGGATCCAAAATGAATGTTATGATATCTTCATCTATGCATTTTATGAGTTATGATTAGCTCAAAGCCCTCTAACATTTGATTAATGTTTAATCATATCCAATTATTTAATTAGTGCATACGAGGTCTATATTTTAAATTGTAACTAGTATGTCTCAAACCATGAACTATATAATATTTTCATTCAAGGAATACTCTATCGCGTGAGATTAGGAAATAAAATTTATATACCTCTAATTAATATTCATATATGAGTAAGTTTTAAAAGTTAAAAGTAAATTTCTAATCACTACAAAGAAATTATAAAATTATCCAAGAAATTTTATCAACGAAAATTAATTCGCTAATAAATTTAAATTATCAATAAATTTTACTAATAAATTAAAAATTATAATTATCAATAAATTTTATTAATAAATTTATATTTTAATTAATATGTTGTGGTAACGAAAAAAATTATTGCAAATGAATGGGTAGTTGAACAATCCAACCGAATTACATTTTTATATTTATGTTTAAATTTATTTAATATAATCTTATTAGAGTCGATGAAATTTAAAATTAACTAATCGAACTAAATCCAACCACACAATGATTAAAAATATTGTATCCAATAATTTTATATTTGAGTATTATTTATGTAAATCAAC